GAATGGAGCGGCCACAATATCCGAGTGCATTTGTTTGGTTCTTCAGGCAACCTCCTTTGCTCTGACGACTCTGATGGTTCGTAACTGTCACGCCTCAACAGCAGCAAATGGAACGTTAACTTACAATTCTTCTAGTGGACATCTGCATAACAACCGAGTGGAAGGAATTGGAAGGGGTCTGCATAATAGCTGATCTGCTCAAGAAACGTAAGGACACTCGAGATTTTATTCAAGGTAATATACTAAATGATGTAGGTGGCATGGAAAAAGTCGTTTGTGTGTCTTCGGCAAAGGTCCCAATCGTAAAGATTTGGGACCCCGAGCTTGGGCTGGCTTGCGACATGAATGTCAACAATACCTTGGCTCTGGAGAACACCCGAATGGTCAGAACTTATGTTGAGATTGATCCTCGTATTCGTCCGTTGGCTATGATCATCAAATACTGGACTAGGAGGCGGATTGTCAACGATGCTGGTAAGTTTCCAGCCAGCTCGGGCCTAAGATATTGCTTCTAACTCATATCACAGCATTTGGTGGAACCTTGAGTTCATATACCTGGATATGTATGATTATCGTTTTCCTCCAGCTGCGCGATCCTCCCGTGGTGCCGGCATTGCACCAACGGCAACATCAAAAACTGCCAACGAAGGATGGGCATAAGACCGAGTTCGCAGATGATATCAACAAGCTACGGGGCTATGGGGATAAGAATAAGTCCAGCCTAGGTGAACTGCTATTTCAGTTCTTCAGATTTTATGCCCATGAGTTTGACTATGACAAGTGGGTTTTGTCGGTCAGACTGGGGAAGATGATTTCCAAGACGGAGAAGAAATGGCATTTGGCCATGAACAACATGCTCTGTGTCGAGGAGCCTTTCAACACTGCGCGTAACCTTGGCAATACGGCCGATGATACTTCGTTCAGAGGATTACATATTGAGTTGAGGAGGGCTTTTGACTTGATAGCCGAGGGAAAGCTAGATGATTGCTGCGAGCAGTATGTCTTCCCCAAGGAGGAGGAGAACGCCAGCCAGCGAGTCTGGCAGAAACCGGCGCCTCGACCTGCCATCTTGAGAAGTTCATCGCAACAACATTCTGGCCGTGGAGGGCGTGGAGCAAACTACCGGGGCAACCGACACTTTTCTCGGAACGTGAACAGCAATCGAAGGGCATCTTCGAGTCAAACCTTCGAGAACAGTCCTGTCTTCGTCCAGACTGGCCTGCCCCCTACGCTCACACCCCAGGATATCCAGTGGTATCAAGCTCAACAGGCTCAATATCCTTTCCAAGGAGATGTCTTTGGGACTTTGAATGCTCTGCAAATGCAGGAGCATAGTCTTCGCTTTCAGCTATACACTCAACAACAGTTTACAGCACAGCAACAAGCGCTTGCACATGCCCAAAGGATGCAGGGTGGTCCGTCGCAGTCATCTGACAGATCGCGAACTAACTCGTTTGATCAACCGCCGTTGACAGCTCCAATTCGTCCTGAGATGTATGTTTACGGACTTCCTTTGCAGCCATCTCCTTACTACCCACAGCCTGGCTTCACTACATATCCATCATCGCCGTCGACTACCAGCGCCGCGCCAGAATATAGGAGAAGTCTGCACCGGACGACTGTGACGAGCGACTCTGGTAACTCGACCGGAAGTGGATCCTTGAGATCTCAGTCACAGCCGGCATCTCGGACATCAATCCCCCCTACCCAAGCGATACCTGGCTATCCTGGATCTAGCCAGCCGATGACTGGTATCCCAACATTTCCGGCACGGCATGTCAATGGAGTTCCCATCCCTAGTTTCATTCCCGACGAGAACGGTGATTCAGAGGCTGATGATGGCCTACACAAAGTTGCATCCGATACACCTCCGGATGAGGAAGGTTCGAGATACATTGGCTATTATGTGAATGATGCTTCGAGTCCGGCTAGAAAGCTTAGTGGTGTGGCTGCTGGCATCCCCGCGTTCGGCGATTTGGCCCAGAGTAACCAGGCGCGCCGTCGACTGTCAACTGATCAATTACCTCAATCTATCCTTGACAGACGTATGCGCAGGACGTCAAGATCGCCGTCTCCCCTTGGACATGCTAGAGCCTTTTCTATGGGGACCAATTCAGCGCCGCTGGTTTCTGCACCTTTCCAGCAGACTAACAGCAGACTTTCGCAGGACAATCGTCCGCTGATTGTCAATGGTTCGGCATTTACACCATCATCGACCTCGACCTCGAGCCGAAATCCTTCTACGACTGAGAGTAGGACCCCTGATGAAACTGGCTATGACAATCCCCTACATATAAACCAAAGTCAGACAGTGAGCAGTTTTGTGCAAGAGCCGCTGCCGATAACACAGAATCCAGCGCCTGCTGAGCGTCCTCTGGTTGTGAATGGGTCAAATCAGTCGCCCGCAGCTCCACAATACGGTCCAGACATCCAATCATTCAATCAACGTATGGCTGCTATGAACACGATGAATGGCATCCCATTTACCCCTATTACGGGAGAAGTATCTAATGCCAGGACACGATTGACCGATTCTCATAATCGCCAACGTGTCATGTCTCGACAGCAGCAGAATGTTATTGCTCCACTTGACCTCGCTATTGGCGATCACAGTGTCGTGCAAGATCTACAACACTTGTCGCCAGTCTATGAGACTCGTACTCCGTCACCAACAGTGGTGCGGAGATTTGAGAACTCGGCAACCCACGACAAGCCAGTGTTCCCTCCAGCATCTAGCGGGCACAAAGAGGCTCGGCCTGATCCACCAAAGTCATCCCAAAAGTCGCCCCTTGAAGGCGGCCCTGCGTTGACAAAGAAAGAGTCCGTCTCTGGAAATGTACCACATCCCAGGATCAACGGTATAACACGAGAGAATGGGCATGTACGCGCGGCGAAGAGCGAGAGTGATCATCCTAGCGGCTGGCAGAAACCGAAGTCCAGGAAGAAGCAAGCTGATCTAAAGAATGCGGCCATTGGACATCCCCAGAGTGAGCAGCCACCCAAGAATGAAGCGGACCGAAAAGGCGGTTAGTCGAGAAATATGTCGACGGGCTACTCGTCGTTGGGCCACCGTCCAGCTCCCCTTTTCAGTGATCCGATTTCTTGGATATCCATCCGTGCTGTATCTTGGTCCATGTCATGACACTATATTGGACAGCTTGTTCTGAATTTCGTCGCTCGTAGTTGGCGATACGTACCTGCGTATCATGAACCTCTTTGGTTTGACCAGCTGGCGTGCTTGTACTAGCTGACAACGATATTGAAATGGTTAGTCGACATCGATCTTCATGATGTTCTTCAACCAATAGTCGGTCCATGCGGTTATGGGCAACTCAACCTTTCCGCGGACGGATTTTCTCAATCCTTTTTCCTTGTTCAACCGGGACAATATCCCGGGTTCTTCGCAAATTATAGAGTTTTTTCTACGACATATACCAAAAAGAGACGATCAGCGCAAAAGGGAACTGGTACGGTCGTACAGGAGGCATTGCAGCGAGTTCTCGGCTTTGTGTTTTGGAGTTTTTTCCCCTCCTTTTCATGTCTGGTTTCATCTGTCATCGGCCGGCTGGTAGTACGGCTCTGAATGGAATTGGCTTTCAGGGATTTCATGGCAAACGGTGGCACGTTGTCTATTTTGTGTACACAGCATTATCGGGTGAAGAAGTCAAGCCATCCCCACGGCCCCTTTCCCTATTTGACGCCCAATGTATCATCATACTCTGGATGGCCGGCTTGTCTCCCTCGGACGGACAGACTTCGCTTTGGCGCCAGGGGCTTGGGTCTTGAGTGGCGTTAAGTCTTATTGCGGAAGACTCGGGCTGGCAATATGCAATGTCCTTGGTGACGTCGGCCGTAGGGCTGAGGAAAGAGATGCACGGTCAAGGTCGTTGATGACTGTTGGATCAGGAAGCCTAGGAGGCAGACGCTTGTGAGAGTGGTTATAGGGCATGAACTCAGATACGAGATGAATCATTGTGAATACCAGATAGACGAGACACAGGTGCAAAACACAATAAAATGGCAAAAAAATATTGAAAACCTACATAGATGCCATTGTTCAAGTCGCCGGTGATATGACAAGCTTCCTATAGACCGGCCTATTGATAGGTCGCCCCTGGTGGCTAACGAGCCAACAAAAACAGCTGCTTATATTTTGAGCAAAGACACCCACACCCCTCCACAAAGGCCCCCCGCAGCGTTGGGTCGATCTGCAGCATGGGACGGGGATGGCACGCCCTCGTATTCCCTGCCAGCCTGCTTCTCGAGTATGCAAGCCTCTCTCCCCAGGCAGAAGCCTTTCAGTCCCCTCGTGCCTGGCAGCTGCAGGGCCTGAAACGGCGGCCATGACCCCATGCCCGTCCCTCGTCCCACGGCAGGTGCAGCGCGCAGGAGGACTACTCACAGTACATACATACAAACGTATCTAGGTACTGGACTGTAGGGTGCGACTGGCGAATTGGCGTCTCTCAATTGAGAACCCCTCTCTCAAGGTTGTCATCTGCCTGACGCCCCGGGCTGTCTACTGGTGCTCTGCAGGCTCGCTCGTGTTCCTGGGGCACGAACAACTCGCGACAGGCTACCGCTCCTGAGCCGCCCAGTCTCGTCCAGTCGATCAGTCAATGGCGGCAGACGACCACTCGAGTGCCGAGATCAGGCTGCCGCCGCCGCCATCAGCAGCAGTGACAGAGACGGTGGCAGCGATGGAGCGCCGCTTCCAGAGCCACCAGCGCGCTACGTCAGAGGCGAGCGCAGCCAATTCGAGCGCGAAGCTGTCGAGGCTGAGGTCGGTGCTGAGGCGCACTGGCTCGAGGGATGATAAGAGCGTCAGCTCGGTAGGTTTCTCTGTTTTGTTTGTTTTGTTTTGCTTCTCATCCTTCTATCATTCCTGGCATGCACTTGTCACGCAAGTGTGGTAGCCTCACCGCCAGTCTGTCTCTTTTCATGGTGCCCTATGCTCGTATAAGACGTGCCACCACCATAATCCCTCTTGGGACAATCCAATGGCTGACCAGGCGCCCGGGGATGCACCACAGAGCTGGGCGACGCTTCCCGCAGAAGACGCTACTGAGGAAGGCTCTCCGACTGCGCGGTCGCCGGAGGAGCTGCTGCTGCCGGTCGTGGTGTCGGCGGATAACAACAGCAACAGCCGCCAGCTGAGAGAGTACGTGCAGCGGCTCCGCGCCGCGAGGGTCCCCGGCACGGAGCCGGCGCATGTCGACGCTGCGTATAGGGAGTACGCCAAGCTCAAGGACCAGTGCCTCGCGCTCATACGGGCGCTTCTGACACCGCGCGAGGCGCAGACTGGTACCGTGCAGCGAAAAACATTCGTTTCTGCTGCTGCAAGCCAGGATTCGCTCATTGATGAGCTCGGGGTAGAGGATGGGAGAGAGTCGACAGAGAAAGTCAGGAGGGCGAGTATTGCGACCCTAGGAGCCGAGAAAGAACTTACCGGGCTAGGGGGCAGGCCCAGCGCCGCGTGGCTGGGCCCTGTGCGGGACTGGAAAGCCAGTGTGGAGAGCCTGCTTGAAGTGCACCGGGCGAGTCTCCTGGAGATGTACAAGGAGTACGAAAAGGATGCGACCCCTGAGATGGCTGAGAAACTCTTCACGGACAAGGGGTTCAGGACTCAAGCAATCCAGCGGATGCGCAGTGCGGGGGTCTACAAGATCCAGGCTTCGCCGCTGGAGTTCTGGCCGAAGTATGAGAACCGTTTCCAGAATTATGAGAAGATGAGACAGGATCTGGGCGAGATCACGAATCTCCTACAGGTTGGGGAGTCGGGGATCTCGCTTGACAGGATTATTAGAGAGTATGCCATCGCTCCTCGCGGTGATGCCGTGCTTGAGTTCGCGAATACAGCTATGGAATGGAAGCCAGTATACCGATTTCGAGTTTCCTCGCATATGCTTGCCGAGACGTCACCGATCTTCGCGAGGATGTTTTCAAAAGAGCCGGACAGGCATCTTGATGACCTTGCGTCTGAGGAGTGGGACTTGGCGGATCTCGAAGAGGAGCTCCCTCCTGCGGCGAGCTCATGCGTCTGCCCGGACGGCTCGGAGGTGAAGCTGTATCGCATGCCGCAGCTCGAGCTCAACAAGGAGGAAGCCCTAACAGCACTACTACACGCGGCACACATGCACAATGACAAGATACCGCGCGACATCTCCTTTGAGAAGTTTGTGGCGATTGCTGAGGTGTCTCTGCGGTACCGATGCACCTCGCCAGTGGAGGTATTCGTTGAGCATCGCTGGCTACCGCAGTGGATGCACAAGGCTACAGAAGACATGCCCGACGGCTTGCTGCTCATCAGCTACGTATATGGCTTACGAAGGCTGTTCACGCGCATGTCCAAGACGGCTATCATGAATATCGTCGATGAGCGAGAGCTCAAGAATAAGCCATGGCCGCAGAAGGTCAAGGACAAAGTCTGGGCCGTGCGCAATGCGAAGATGGCACAGGTTCATACGGCCTGTAGAAGTGCCATTGAGGAGTATCTTCGGCCGCCGATGGAGGGCAGTGGGATAGTCGAGCCTCACTCCAGAGACGACATGGCAATTCCACAGGGAACATCAATAGCAGGCCTGATGACTTGGTCGCAAGTGACCACGCAGCTGAAGCCATTGCCAGCGCCCCCCAGCAGCAATGACAACATGCCAGCGCCCATTGCACTGACAAGCACGCCGCGCTGTCCTAAGGGTAACCAGTGGTGTGACGCTACAAACTTGGGATGGCTGCTTCTCGTCTATAATGAACTGCATCTCTTGTCGACTGTGATGAGGCCCACGGTTCTCTCTCATCTACAGCAGCCGCAACCTCCTCCTAGGTCGTTGGCGCAACTAGTCGACGCGCTGAGGCTAATACCCAGCCCGCCGCATCCAGTCCATGCTGGCCCAGGCGGACGGGGTGGTGTCTGCGATCCTGCGCCAGTCTTCCGTGACGCCATCAATGATGTTTACAACAGCGTCAGCGGTCTGACGCTTTTTGACATTAGCGGCCGCCAGCACGGCTGGGCGCTTTCAAGGCGGAGGCGTGACGAGCCACAGGCCATCCTACGAGTGAGAAGGGCAGGACGGCAAGAACGGAGCCGCAGCCAGGACACAGCCAGTGATGAGCGCCGGCCAATTATTTCAGTCCCCGAGAGCATCTACCTTCGCGTGCTATGGCAATTGGATAGTTTGGAGGACATACACTCGGCCGCAATGGCTAGTAGGGGTTTCTACGAGACGTTCAAGAAGAACGAGCTCTCTCTGATGCGGAATGTCGTCAGGGGGGAGCGGAGACGGACACTAATGATATTAACCGGGGCGGGCGATGTGGTTGGTGAGAAGATACCGAAATGCGAATCTGAAGCACTGAAGGCACACTTGGATGCCGTGAGGGCCAAACAGCAGACTAAGTCAACCGCAGCAGCGACAACCGAGTCGAAACAGGAAGAATTCGAGATCGAAAGTACCACTCTGCAAGATGGAAGCGAATCCGACACAGAAGCCCTCATGTCTGACTACGCAACACCGGCTGCTAGTGTAAAAGATGAGACAGAACCACCGCACGACATGACTGTAGAGGAAGCACGTCAGATCCTATGGCCGGACGAGCCACCAGCCGAAGCTGAGCCTCTGCCTCTCATCTCAATTCCACCCGGTTTTGGTGAGGATAGAGAGAAGTTCCGGCTCGAAGACAGAGATCTTGTTGAAGAGAAGACGCTTGTTGTTGTCGCGCAGAAACAGTTGCGAGAGGATTATGACCGGAGGATAGGGTTGGCTTCGGGGGCTTCAAGCGACTCCAACCAATGACTATGATGACGGCGTTACGGATATGCTGGCGTACTCAGGATGCAGCGATTTGGACATGATACTTAATGAGCACACATAAATCAACCCTGTCAAAGTCTCGTCTAGACTGTTTAGAGGTATATAGAACAGTCAGACCCATCGAGCAATACATGTAGTTCTTTCCAACTCTTTCCCCCAAGAGCATCACGCTCCATTTGGCGCTCGACGCATCTTTAGCGGTAATAAAGTACATTGAGAAGCCTATCAGTATAATGGAGTCTTGACCTCGGTGTAACTCGGCACACTTTCCACGAAACAGTCTCAATGGACCGTTTCATGATTCTTGTTGAACCAACAGTGAATGCTTATCACGCTCCATGATAGGTCTACCAGCTGTAAAGCACACCTCAATCCGCAGATTGTGCAGAGCCAAGTCCCCTCTGTGAAGATTCACTGCCAATTGGAGGCGTTGACTTATCAATTGGTACTGTTTCTAGTCATGGAAGGTCGACTTCAGCATGAATGCAAGGGTGTGGCACAGCCGTTATCAATTGAGTGCTGACAGGAGCTGGCGCACTGTGTAAACAACACCTCCACTAACACCATTATATCGTCGTATAAGGCATGAATAACACCAAACTCATGCTTCATCCTAGGAGCTGTTGTAAGGGCAACTTGACTATGGGTGATTGAACAGTTGAGAAAAAGTATAAAAGGCTCCATGATTATGAGTTCGTGAAAACCTCGTCTTAATAACTACCTGATACCTACCACACTTCACTCTATCCTACCACTTGAATATCTCCTCAAATAGAGATTCAAAGTCACCAACACATATCGATCATCAAAGCTTTAGACAAATCACACACAAAGATGCCCTCCTACGAGCTCACACCCCAGGCCTTCACGGCCCCCACGGACGCCATCCCCTACATGACCGTCACGTTCCGCGTGCCGCAGTCCAGCGCCCGCCGGGACCGGGACGACCCCATCTTCCCCGCCTCGGGCCTCCAGCTCTCCCTCGAGAACAACCGCCGCGAGGCCTTCCTGGAGGAGCGCCTCACGGCCCGCGACCTCGGCGCCAGCGGCGGCGTCTGCGTCGCGCGCGTCCCCGCCGGCGAGATCCCGCAGTTCCGCGGGCCCGAGTGGGCGGACCAGACGGTCGTGGTCAAGATGCACGCGTGGAAGGGCGAGAAGTGGCTTGGAAGCTGGGAGGTGGGAAGGATGGAGGCGCCGTTGGGGCGCTAAGGGGATGTAAGACGCTGTCTGTGAGTGGAGGTGAGGCGACGCGACTCCATGCCTTCGATTCTGGTGGGAGAATTGAGCACTCTTCTCAAGTTGGGCAGGCTGTAGGATAGACAGGCAATACATGGAACTTGGCATGTGCAATGCAATCGTTTCCGGCAATTTTCAAGTTGAAGATCATGTGTTAGCTAGCAATTCAATCAATCCCTTGACGCCCGGTGTTCCTGTCTCTCTCACGCATCTGCACCTCTCCTTGCAACCAATTCGTAAGCTTCCAATCAACCTATAGGCCAGCACAACAGTGTAAAAGTCCATTATCACTCTCAGGATGGCCATCGCAAACGATACGGTGAAGCGGCGTCTGTACAACCATACCACTGCCAGCGGTGTAGTGGCAACGAATGGCTTGATTGGGCCAAGCACTTCAGCCTCACCCCAAGACGTGGCTTGCGATCTACACCACAACGGTCCTGTTTTGAGCAAGATCAAGCTACGCTCCGGGCGACGACATCTCGTGTTACGGCAGCACACCTGCAGTCTTATCCAGGCAGAGCCAAGACAGTTGTCACAATATATGCACGTCCGCCTCACGAATCACGGTAGGCAAGTCTGTAGGAAGGTTGTAGAAGCGAAATTCGATCTATTCGTACCCCATCAGGCTTGGTCTTCAGGGGTTTCTGTGAAAAGAAAAAAAAAGTCCTTCCAACTAAATGAGAAAGAAAAGACCTGCAGAGCGCAGTACCGGGTACCAAAATCGATCCATGAGACTGAAGACAAAGTTTGTGAGAGATTGAGAAAGCCGTCCAAGATAACTTTTTAAAAGAGCCATTGCTGACAACAGACAGACACGCGGGGGGACCGCGATTCCAGCGCTTCACACCACTGCCTGTAGGGCCCATTTCTATCGGTATATTCCTCCCCGCCTCCTCATAACAGGCCCGTAACAGGCAAGAGACAAATGAACAAAGATTGAGATAATAAAAGAGGCAAAGCCGGGCCATGCAGAAACACCAAAGATGCCCCCACGAGCTGACGCACAAAAATGGTGGCATGTCTGGAACCACACAATAAAAAGGTATCGTAGGCCAGAGTGAGGGCGGCCCCTAAGAGGGTCGGATAGGAGGAGCTCGCACGCCAGGTTGAAGTGTAGAATGTGTCGAACCAAATGAGTTAGAAACACAGATATCCGCCCGAAAGATCTTTCGATGCTTGGTTAATAATTTTGGGTTTTTTGCTTCTCTTTCATTCGTCCAGTTCGTCAAGTCGTGGAAGAAATGTACAGCTTTTGTTTCCGTGCCGAGTCTATTATATTACAGTTGTTTTCGACTCTGATCGGACGGGCGGGTTTGAAGAAGATCTTCGAATAGTGGTGTTGCATCATTTGTAGAAGTGATAAGAATAGAATCTTTTCGGTTGCTAGAAAGTTGAAGGTGGAGTTGAGGCATCAGATTTTGCGTGGTAATGTTTGCGAGCGGGCTTAATAAGGTCGATCAAGCCATTACTCTTCATCCTTTTTATCTCCACGCCTGTTATAGTCATTCCACTTCCGCTTGCCAACACGAGTCTCAAAGTGCGGAGCGCTTGCCTTCACGTCCTGCATAATAGATTCGATCGCAGTACGTGTCTTGTTACGATAGCAGTCGACTGAGAATCTGTTAGTACTACTTAAGATAATTGGCGTGTAGTATGCGACTTACGAGCTCGCTGGAGGAACACCGTACGGCCGGCAAAAACCCTACTTTGCAGCCAAGCCATACGGTATCCCAGATCATTCAGTCGAACCTCCTTCCGACGCATGACTCTGCGCATGCGAGGAATGGCAACATCGCCCTCGGAGCCGTCATTCAGGGGCACCTTGACCTGAATCTTGCCACGGCCGTCCGCACCACGACCAACACGTCGGCCCTCGGTCTCCGCAGCTCCATCGTCTTCGGTACCGCTGAGGTCAGACTCAAAGAAGCGGCTGCCTGTGGGACTGGGCGGTCGATCCTGCATCTCGCGCGGGAAAAACGATCGTGGGAATACAGAACTTCCCTTTCGGAAACTATCCGGAATCTCGCGGGTGTCGACGCCATCTAGCGTCACGCGGACGCGCAGACGCGACTGTCGATCATTGTCGTCGACGAGAATAAACTTGCGCTTCTTGGCCTCAGGGATATCCGGGAACAGATCATCGACATCATCGCCGGGAGCATGACTACCAGCTCGACGAGCAACGATGCCACTCCCTTGGTGGGACGGGCCACCGCTCAAGGTATCGTGGATAGATGGCATGGAGGCCCCGGATGGAGCGTTACTGGGATAACCGCCATAGCCGGTGAAGACCTGCGTCTGACGGATGTCAGAGCCGGCTGGAGCACTGGGATATGTGGGCGGTTGATGGTGGTGATGAATCCGCTCATCGCCAGAGGAGTCGCCATCGGCTAAATGGGCACGAAAGGGATTAGCATACGAGCGTTTGATGTGCAAATGATCTGCAGCAGAAACATTTTCAAACGAGCAGGACGATGTATAAACCAGGACAGAGAGCATGCGGCAACTTGCGCAACTGCGACGGTGCGTAAAGAGGATGGATGCTTGCAACACAAAAGGGTCCAAAATGACATGACTAAAGCCTTGAAACCAAAGCTTGTCTGATGCGATGCTGATGATATGTGCTGTGTAAAGCGCGACCGGACTGGATCCAGCGCAAAACGCGGTGCGATGCGACTTTGTTGCCAGCAGCTAGACGACCGAAATCCAGCAAAACAAACTAGCAGCAACGGCAGCGGCAAGTGTGACTAGGTGGTGTAATGTACAGATTCTTGTGCCAGCTTTCCTCTCGCCGGCGAGCGCGAGGTTCAAAATTCAGCCGCCATATATAAACAAAGACAAGAGCATCCCAATTCCAAACTCGACCAAAAAACAGCAGGCACAGGTATAATAATGGTATGAAAGGTATCACACATAATCACAATAACACATTATCACATGTGTGGAAACATACCGACGTCATCTCCTCCACCATGAGCATTTCCATCTGCGTGGGAGGCATGGTGGTGCATCGGAGCCATGCTATTCATCCCAGGCTTTCCCATGGCCGCCGCACCGGCAGGGCCCATGGAGCCAGGACCGGGCATCCCTGCCGGAGCATTGGGGCCGCCCATGTGGCTGCCAGGGTGAGGGCCGGACGGGACCGCCTTGCTGCGGTTGTTCATCTTCGCCATCCGGCGCACTCGTCGACTCCGCAATCGCGGGTCTTGGTTGCTGTTTCTCCAGCTATCCACAGCTCGCTGGATGAGGCCGCGCTTGCCCCGTAGCGGAGGGTTCAGTTGAGCTAGAGCCCAGCCGACCGTGTTGCACTCAGTCTCGTATTGGAGACGGTTTCCCCTATACTGGTCCTTGGGACAGCAGGCGCGGGGATAGACGCAGTTTTCAGTCTTGAACTCGGCCGTAAGGTCGTCTGTGTTGACCGACTCCACGTCACACCGGATTGTGTACTCCATCTTTACGCGGTCCCGCGAATATTCGAAAGCAATCCACTGAACACCGTTTTGGTCCTGTCGTACAACGAGCGGGGTTGTGGCAGGAATCGGCCCCGGAGCAGCGTTCGGGTTGACGCCTGACGCCGAACCGGTGGGTGTGTTGAGACCTTGTCCGTTCTGCTGCGAGTTAGGTGAAGGTCCAAGTGGTCCTGGCGCAGGTTGTCTCTGTAGCTGGGGCATCTGGTGCGCCTCGATCTTCGTGTGCCGGGGGCTACCCGTCATGCCTGCCTGTGCGTGTTGGCTCATGTGCTGCGTATTCTGGTGTTGAGGTGCCAGCTGAGAGGCCATCATGTTTGGCTGAGACGTGATTGACTGATGCGAGGTTTGTGCGTGCTGGCCGTAGGGAGAAGGAGCTGCCTGCTGAGCCATTGACCCGTACTGAGTCGGTTGGGGGCCTGGGTAGTACATCGACTGGTGTTGGAGGTGCGACGTGGGCTGCCCATACATGCTCCTCTGCTGATCGTGACCGGATGGTGAAGCCACCGAAGCTGGCGAGTTGGACTGCGGCGTATGATACGACATAGGCGGGTATTGTGGTCGTTGGATAGTTGCGGCCATCATGTCTGAAGTGTCTGTGTGGACCTTGTTAGATGTCGGGATTGAATCAATGTGACACGCTACGCGCAAGATGCCACTCACCTGCGGATGTATATCCGCTTGTTGCGCCTGGAGTGCTGTAAGGACTGGGTTGAGCGTAGTAAGGAAGTTCCTGGGCGTGCTGCGCGTTTGTCGCCTGGGTCTGGTGCTGGTAGACCGGGGGGATAGAGTGCGTTGAGGAGTACGCCGAGGGGTGCTGAGGCTGAGGTGGAGGAGCCTGAGAATGATGCTGCTGGTGAACAATGCTCGAGGGTCGGTGGTGTTGTATATGCGGAGGTGCTGGACCCTGTTGCTGGTGGTGGGGATGGTGCTGCATAGAGGAGACGACCATTAGTTCTGACGCATCCAAGCAAGTGGATTAATGACAACCATGGAGACAAGAGAACTGGACGCGGGAAGATATTCTTATTTCTGGTTTTTGACACTGTCAAAGTCTGGGGGAGCTCCAGGTTTATTTTCTGGATATAGTATAATGACGAGGATCAACAGGTGAGGCGGGCTAGGCTCGGAATGGTTATATGTGCAGGCAGGATTGACAAGGCTCGCTCGCATAGTGCTGCAGGAGCTCCAGTACAAGGGGGGCCAAGGGGGGAGAGAAAAAATCGAGCCACCCAATACCACTCAAGATCAAGATCAACGCGAGCGATACTGATTCGAATGGAGGTGGAGCGGCTAGAAGTCGGAACAAGGACCCGAAGTTTCGAGATTCCCAACTAGGAACTCGTCTCCTTCCTAGAGGCGATAACGTACCCAACAAGACCGACGATGGTAGGAGGAGTGCTATCGACCAAAAAGACACAGGCGCGGGCCGGTACAGAATGGTAGAAGATTGGGGTTCGAAGCGAGGGTAGTAAGAAGAGATGGTCGACGACGGGGGGCGGGATTGAAGAGGGAAGCAGGGTCAAAAGATATTTAGAGCTAAGATAGGTAGGGTAGGTAGGTAGGTAAGGTAGGTCGAGGGCATGTATGCGTGTGGGGATTGGGAATGACGGAGTACAGGGTTATTATGTAGAAGGAAGGGGGGCAGGGCATGGCCGATCAGAGAATAATAGTAATTTTGGAGTAGTCTGATATAACCATGATGCGTGGTGCGGTGCGGTGTGAAGTTCGCGGTGGTGGAAATGGAAAAGGAAATATGCTTGCCTGGGCTGCTTGCTTGCTTTCTGTGCAGTGCAGTGCAGTGCAATGCACTTGGGTGCCAGGCAAGCTTGCAGCGAGCAAAGTGAATTGAGTGATGCGCGATATGGTGGGAAAAGGTAGGAGTAGCTTTGGTACCCACCAAGCAGAAGGACCTAGCCCAGTGCAGGCCAGTGCAGTGCAATGCAGGGCAGAAGGAGTGTACTATGCAGTATGTATGTATGTAGAGTGTAGACAGACAAGTACCTCGACGAGCTCTTGCTCCCTCTGGTCTCCACTACCGCTCTTAGCATGAAGCAGTTGGAGATTGAGGTATTTCCTCTTGCTGAGCAAAGCGTGTATAGATCAGGGATCCTGTCACTTGCTCCTCTCCTCACCACTCTCTCCAGTACAAATGCAGTTGGCAAAGCAGAAGGAGGAGAGGTGGGACGTGGGACGTGGGACGGTGCATGGTGAAAACGTGAACAAGGGGTGTGCAGCGTTTTTTAGATGAAATGGCCAATGGCGGCAGAGCTTGCAGAGCCGAAGGACAGGACTACCGCCCAATGAGGCACTGGTCAGCCGGGGCTAGCCCTCTGGTCGCTGGACCAGGGAATCGACTAGGGGGCGCTCGGGGGGGCACACCACAGGACAGGGGGGGTACTAGGGGGCAGACCAGCCTCTGGGGACATGGACCGGGTCCTCTTTTCGCACTAACAACGTGCGAGGCGGTGTGTGTGAGGGGGGGCCCATGTCGCCCGGGACGCCATCCCTGCCCACGCGCGCACGCACGCATCGACCACCCACCCACCACAACCCCCCTAACTGCCCTGTTGCTGCACCAGTAGAGTGATGGAACCCATGCGCCCGCCAGTCAGTCTCGTACCCCGGCAATGTCTCGAATACCTGTCGCTGCTTGCTTGCTTACTGCTCCACGCTCCCACCGAGACTACAACGTCTTCCCACTCCCCGGAACGGTTCCTCGTCAATCAACTCACAAAAGTCCCATTCGCGGGGCGAAGTGACCTTTCGTAAGGGAGATAGGCGACATACAGTAGGTCGGAGAGATCGCGGGTCAAGTACAGCAGACAAGAAGGCAGGGCAAAGCATACAATCAGGCCCAAAGAGATGCTGTTGCTGGCGAGAGCTGACTGACTCGCTCCTCGCCCGTCTGCCGCTCGACGGACGTGCTGTCCTCCTCCAAGATCGGCTTTCAATCACTCATCTTAAGGAGCAGAAGCTGCTTGGACGACTTTGGGACCTTCGATGCCCCCGAACGCCGCCACCAGCATGGTAGTCAAACGCCACGGCCCCACTACTACCGTTGGCCATTTGAGCTCCACCTCACTAAAGGCCTCTCCCTCCTGGCTACTGGAATCATCAAGCTCCTAGGATTGCACCACAATCATCTGGCGCCGTCCTAGCGTTGCCTTCCGTTGAGCAAACACGTAGTGAACCCGAGTATTTTGCTCATTCATAGAGAGCACTAGCTCGCGTCCAGAGTGAGTTTATGATTAGAAGGGGGGATATGCAAGTACGGTAGAGGCCAGAGGGGACGATGACATCGATCACCTAACGCTTCCCCACCACCAAAAGACGTTTGCTCCTAGCTGCTAGCACATGCTGCAGGGGAACTTGCCCCGAGCTCAAAGCCGTTATGGCCACTGGCTTGGCCGCTGGGCTGGCCGTGGCGTCCTCTTTTGCCCACTCTCCTATCCCTGGAGCTTTCTGGCCACAGCTGTTTTCACGCTCGCGCCATCGACTACGACAAAGCCAGTGAGCACTAATGACCCCTCGTATACATTGTAGATGCTTCCCAGTCAGCCAGTGTGGCTAGTAGGGAGGGTAGTGACAGTGGCTCGACGCCAGCACCAAGCAATCCCGCCAGTGCGTTCTGCATGGGGGGGTTGCCCTAGCATTCGCCTATGCACACAGTTTTGCGGCACACACCAAGGCCATCTCCCCCTGTCCCATGCGACAAGGACCCCTGCCGCAATTGAAACAGGTTGCTGCCCTGCAATTCCCACAGACCCTCCCAAGACCATTCCGGACCGGCTCACGCTTGTGGCAGGGCAGAGCGCCTTCTGGAACGAATGGAACTGGCGCCATCGCTTCTTTGGTCTGATCGTGAACCTCGATTCCCTTGTTCGAAAAGAGAGAGGTAGGGTAACCTGGCAGACACTTGAAAGCTGCATTCTACCGACAGGTCCACGCTTAATGCCTGTCATAACCGTGCTGCGGTCGAGCAGTCCTTGAACAGATCCAGACTGCCCTGTAACAGACGGTCTGGGGTACGGTGCTACCGATGGTGACCAGCCGCCCAAGGGCCGAACATGTCATACAAGTGAAGGAATTGATGATTTGCGAATGGACAAAACAGACGACGGACTTACATGATCGGTAGGCTCTTCCTTGAATTGGCTTGCAGCCTGACGATGCTGAGCCATTGTTAATCCCATAGAGAATGAATCTCTCAGTAAAGTAAATAATTCCTACAGTAAACGGATCAGTCAGAGGCCCTTGATGAAAACTTCTTGTAGCATGGTAGTTTTTGTTGCGAATGTGCCAGCCACGGTTCGAACTTTCGAGTGCCCTTGTCTACGCACACAGGGTGAGGTTTCGATCGACGAAGCAGTCAAGCTGCTCGATGTCCGAAAATCAATGCAAGGACATGCAAAGAGTACCAGGTTTTCGCAATCAATGTCCGTGCACGCGGGCGTTTGGTAATACATTTAACCGTCGCAAAACATGAAAATTGAACGACTCACCTTGAGAGGTTTCGAGCAACTCGAGTAAACTTTTGGGAGGTCAACACAAGTAGGGCCTTGTCGTGTTCCCGGTGTCCGATAATCAATGCCCGCGATTTCTGATGCGCTTCGAAGTCGTCAGCATGCGACTCGGAGGAGCTATCAAGTCTGAAACAGCTGTTGCGCGCGATGTTGTCTTCTAAACAAGTCAGCGTCTTTATCACAGGTCTTGCTATCGGCGTGTAGTCGATGCAACTCAATGCAACACCGAACGAATGTAAGCCCCTTGAATGTTGATCGGTGCTGGGGTTATAAATAGAAAACCAGGGGTAACGAGGTGAAGGAAATTGGGCGAAAGGATTTTGTGAGAGGCATGAAAAGGCCTGAAATGCCCAGGTGGCATTAGTGTGGAACGTTGCCGAGATTGAAACGGGGATCGCTTGCACTTATGCGACACCCTTGTAGGAAAAATCCCGAACGGGTGGCGCCTCAGAGCACGAACCCCCTGAAATTCAATATCGGCGCATAGTGAAGCGAGCATTGAGCACCACGCGTACACGCACGCGATGCGTGATAGCAAATGACAAAAAAACCGGTGGACACATACGTACCTTCGAAGGTCGGCAGAGTTGTGATTCCGCGACAAAGAAAAAACGCGTCCGACGAAGCGCAAGCAGAGGGACTGCGAACACGGCGTATTTGCAGTAGACTCTCTATCTGACACAGATTTGTGTCGTATGCGAGCCCGATAGAGTCGCCGGCAAATTGAGCGGCTCTAAGACAAGTTAGCCACGTGCAAATGATTGGACCTTTGGGGTTCTGCAACGCCAG